AGAAAATGTGCTTAGATAATGCATTGCAAGATGTATCCACTGTTCTCTAGCTGCAGTAACCAATTACTTGTCCAGCTTTTGACACTAATAATAATGCCAGTGACTGAAGTAGAAATTACAGCGAGGAGATGAGATGTAAAGAGGCAGGGAGCTGCTGTAGGCTAATCTTCACTGGATTCACCTTCTATTTTCATTTGTCAATTTTATGGTGAAAAACCTGAATGGTTGAGGGTTAAAGCAGAAATATACATTCTCTGTCCATCATATTAAAAGATTATGGGAAAAGAGCAGGGAATGGGTGAGAGGAGATAACTGTAGTGGGGTAGCAAGTGTCAGTCATAGACATGATAGGCCATTTGACCTCCTTTGATGGGTGTAAATATTTCTTCCACAGCACTTCAACTTTCATGAGGATCAGCGACTTTGCGTGTGAATAATCTCAAAGTAGTGGAAAATGAATTAGAAAAGAACTCCTAAATATTTTTCCCAAGGAAAACAAAAAATCATTCACAAAGATATATATCTTGCGACCCACTTTTTTGATGGTTGCTCAGTCTTTAAATGATTTGAAAAGTGTCACATAAACCACTTAAATTACCATGTTGATCGTTGGCCAAATGCATGTTAACCTCAGCCACAATTCCACCATTTGAAAGCTTTTCAATAGTTTATTTTAAGTTTTCACATTGTGTAAAATGCCTACAGAAACTCACTCAAAATTTCCAACGAGATTTAGTTACATCTACATTTTCGCAGCATTTACTTTCTAACAAACAAAAAATGAACCTGGATGTACATTAAAAGCAACAGAGCACAGGGATTCAATTTGATGCAATTTTGCCAATCATTTGGAGATTAGCTGGAGTTTGATCACAATTAGGAAAGCACAGGAAATCAAATGTCATCCAACAATTTTTCAAAAGTAGCCTTGATTTGATTTTGTTTCTGCACAAGATGCGAAGCATCAGGACTGCCTGCACTGACCTTCAGCGGGCAGCTGTTCACGTAGAAAAAAAACAAATTGATCACTAGACCAGTGTGTTGCTCCTTGAAAGTAAGAAAGAAAGCCATTTGTAGGACAATGTTGCAGGTAATTGGTTGCTCCAATCACCAGCAAGATAGTCACTACACTTGGCATTAAATCCTGTGAAGTGCTTCGAAACATCCTCCCGACATGAAAGGTGCTATACCAAATGCAAAGATAATTAATAAGCTAAAGACAATCAATATTAGAAACGTAAACCAAGGGAATGGGTGTCTGTTATACATAATAGCCTCTGTCTCTTGTGAGTTAAGATTTTCTAGCACAAAACTAAAAATAATTTTCATCCAAATGTTTTCCTCACGAGGACCTCAGCATGAGTGCAGCTACTAAGTCAAAGCCTGCTTTATAGTATTACATTGTTGTGATCAAAGTTCAACACTCAACAGCGAGCAGCAATTTTACCTGCAAATTCATCTATTAATTTCTATCATTGTGATTTAAATCTACTTTTTGTCTATTGAATTGCCTCTCATCATGGGAACACAAACTTGAAAGCATTTCTTCGCCCATACATTTACATGTTTTAGCTCAGTACATTAACCACTAGCCACATGTGGTGAATTGGGAATCCAGATGTAACTAAATTGTAGTTTTAATTAGTAAATAAAAATTGAGTGATAGAGACCATCTTTGGGCATGCAATCTCAATACTCATATTCGCATGGCAGAAGAATGTGTAATTTGACAATTTTTTCCATTGGTTGGTAAAATGATAAGACAAAAAACAGCGTGTGCAAGTATGGTTGGGGGTGTTATCTGCTAAAATGGTGTGTAACATGGTGAAAATGCCAGATTTCAGCAACATGGAAACCCCAGCAATACTGTATGGAGAGGGCAGCTTAACCAACTGGAATAATGGCTCCAGACCAGCAGAAGAAAGCAAGTAATGAGCAGCTCCAACAGGACACGTCATGGCAAAGGGCAAACAGCATCCGACCACATTCTAGATAGACAGCAGAGGCTGGCGGGTCTGCTGCATCTCGTAAAGATAAAAATAAAGAGAAGAGCAAAACTTCCAAAGAACTTCAAAACTTTGATGAGAGAGAAAGACAGCAAAGTTTTGCAGCGAATGTTGGTAGACATTTGCTATGCAAATTCATGTGAAATACATTTAGCTTTATGGCGGTTTTCTACTAAAATTAGTGCATGTGGCTAGAACGGCGTCATTGTAGCCACACCTATGTTTTTTTTCCAGCAATTTCTATTGGACAACACTGCTTCAGCTGAAAGTTGGTTTGCCTCTTGGATCAGTCTTCCTTCTTATTTTCTTTGCTATGGAAGTACTCTACAACTTGTTGAAACTGCTGCTTAAAAGCAAATCGTCACGAAAGCTTTACATAAAATAGCCATTTATAAAAAAGGAAAAAGTACACGTCATGTGTTAGAAGGGCCATGTCCAGCATTTCCAGATAAGCTGCAATTTCTAATCAACAGAAGTCCTGCAACAAGTCCAGCAAAAAAAATTAAACGTTTTAGTTAAGCTTTCTTTCAATAGTAATGCAGTATAGTTCGTAAACCCCACTCACCATTTTGATTAGGAAAACATATACTGTATTGGGGGNAGAATTATTGCTGTTTATGGGTCATCTCTAGTATAAACGTGAGGCAGCATTTACCTACATAATGGTCATTTCCTCATTTCTAATTAACCTCATTCTGTGAATCACTTTATGAACTTCCATTAATCTGAAAGAAGCTATTGAATAGCATTTGAGAGCGCTTTTCACATCGCAAAAGTGCTTCACAGGATATACAAAAGTACAGTAACTATTTTGTAGGCAAAATAATTTATAAGAACCAATGCAGTCCACAGCACAAGAAAGAAGTCAACAACATTCTGGTATTTAGGAAGCATTTGTACAGAAACAAACAGTCGAGAGTCAAAGATTGTTATTTTATTTGGGTACAGATTACCCACAGTTGTAAGACTCGTGCAGCCATTTCCAAACAGTATTTACCACAGAAATTATGCAGTGAAGGTTTTCCAATAGTTTGTAAAGAAGCCTTCAAAGTCTACAAGGTTCGGTAGGGTTCAAGGTACATTTCTGGCAAAGTTTTATCTTAGATTATAAAGTAAGATAATGCCAAGAATTATTACAAGACACTAAATCTCACAAAAGTGCAACAAACGTTATGCATTGCAATAGAATGGTTGATTGACTGACCGCACGATTAAACGTGCTTGGCGAGAGCAAATTTTCAAAAGTGCTTTGAATCAAGTACCAGATCAATTGCTTCTTATTCCTCCAGTCATTTAGACTACCTTCATCCTGATGAGCATTATAGATAAATGCAACAAAGGAACAGTTTTATCAGAAAGCCTGCGGTCAACAGAGGAGGTCTTATAAAAACACTGTGCAACACCCTCACTTACCCACAAGTTTAAGTACACTGATGTTACGACCATATAAAGGGAACAAGAGTGCTTTGTTCATAAGAATGGGGGATGAACAAAATGAGAAAGAGCTGAAAAACATTCATTGCATTGAAAGGAGAAAGTAATTGTGTAAGTAAAACTTAATTTTTTTTAATTCCATGTAGTAACGGAATGGATTCTTATTGAAATGCATTTGCTTGACAGTACATACTGCAATTTAACATATCCTTCCCAACTTCATTAACTACTGAGTAAGTACAGATCTTGTGCATCTACTATTACAATAAACATTGAATTGTGAGCATGTATTATAAAAGCAAAATGCTGCAGGGATAGCGAGTAAAAGTGGGTATTTAAGATTCAGAAGGCCCGTTAAGTCCATTTTGTCCTAAAAATTAAGATTGCACAGAAATTAAAATCATTCTCAATTTGGAGGCTGTTTTTTCATAGAAATATTAATCTTTGCAATTCATATAGTGCTTTATCAAATCTTCGAGACATCTAAAAGCGCTTCACAGAATATACTGTAAAGTGAATTTACAATTACGCAAGCAGTGTCCCACAAAAAGTCGTGGATTGGAGTGACAATTCATTATTATTATTTTTTGGAAGGAATTATTATCCCTGGAAAAGCGATCCGCCAATCGACTAACAACTGGGTTCTTAGTTACTGCTAAATAAACAGAAGTGTGTGGAAGAAGGAAACTCTCCCAACATTTCACCCTGCTGGGAATCGAACCCAGGTTTCTCGCTTGCAAGGTGAGTGCTCTAACCACTGAGCTACAGGACTCCACTCCAAAGTTCAATATGGAAATTGCAATTAAAAGACAAATGGAGAAAACAGGGTTAAGATATGGGGTTTAACCTAAAGTATATTGGATTTATATTACAGTAATAAAAATGGATGAACACTTGAAAGAGGTTAGCCCTATAATATTAAGTTTTGCTTCAGCAACACATTGAGCGAGCTAAAAATAGCAGCCAGTGAACATTAAAGCCAGTGGCGTTAAAGAGCAGATATAATGGGAGAACAAAGGGAAGAAGCCTGGATTACAGTATCTTCTCAAACATTCAGGAACTATAAAATATACAAAGTACTTACTTCTAAGAAGTAGGTATCCTTCTTTCCCTCACCCCCCTTCTCTGCTCCATTTAATTTTAAAATGCAGTGCAACAAAGATGCTACCTTAAGACTTTAAAGACCAAGCAAATGAGGTGCCGTAATGACAAAAGAAGTGTACATACCCCTATAGACAATATATTGAGTGATGGTATAAATCATGTGAATAAATACTTTACGAGAGATGCTTATATTAAAATAGTTACCCAAGAATTCTGTTTTAATTCAGTTTTTTTTTAAAAAAGTCGCAAAAAACAATAATAGCATTAGTTTTTAAACCAATAATAGCATCAAAAATTAAATATTTAAGTGTCCTATGCATTCCAATCAACAAAGGCGATATCCCAACATGCACAAAGCTTTAGTTTTGATTAACAAAACCAATAGTTGCTCGCTGTTCAATTCTAAAGTGCAATCATAATGCTATTGTACTTGAAGCACATCAGTTATTCCAATACACTGTAGATGTGATCTCCTGGATGCCTGTCACAATGCGGGTCCAGTTGAAGGCGGTAGACTGCACAGTGGTGGCTTTCCACGTTTTTCGGGGCATGTTCAATTCCTGCGACCTTTATCTTTCTCCTTTGTGGTGATTTTCATTTTCTTGAGAGGCCTATTGAGTACTTTCAACTCTTTACTTTTGACTTGCAACTTTTTTACTGCTTTAGGCTCCTTATCAACTTTATTAGCCTTCTTCTTGGACTCCAACTTCCCCTTTCCTTCCTCATCCTTATCTTTCTTCCCCTTTTCTTTCTTGGTTTCAATTTTTCTCACCGGCTTTGCTTTCTTCACTGTATCTGCATTCAGCTCCGCCCTCTCTCTCCTGGTTTTCTTGGGCTTCTCTTCCTCAGTAGCTCTTATAGTTGTGGGTTTCTTCTCTTTACTCATTTGGATTTTCTCTTTTGCCCTTTTAAGCTCTATCAATGTTGTCTTGACTTTGTTATTGTTTCAGGGAAGAGTAAAACGTAAATGAAAACTTTCACTTTGAAGAAAACTGCTCAAGGGTCACAAGATGATAAAGCTATTTTACGCTCAAAGGGAATTTAAAAAAATAAAAAGAATTGTGGGGAAATGTGCCAGCTGGATCCGAACCCGGCTTGAACTGAAAAACTGTTATTTCCAGAGTATATTATAGATGTGAGAACAAACAGCCCAATGATTGGAAATCACACTCACAAGGATCAGACTTCATAAGGATGTGTGAAGCAGCAAGTGGAAATTGCAGACTGGTAATAGCTGGTGATGGGTAGGTGGTGGGGGGGGGAGGAGGAGTAGGAAAGAGGGGTATTTGAATGAGCAGAGTAGAGTGGGGTGGTTACGATATACGTGGAGTAGTATAAAATGTGGTTCATGGCCGAAAATAAGTCAAGATAAAAATGCTTAATTCATCAGTGCTGATTGCTCTCTCATCTGAAGAAGCACAGAATCCAGTGGTGATTAAAATACTTTCGTAACATATTTGGATTATTGGACAAAAGATGTGTCATCAAAAAAATTGTCTTCCATGGGGCCAAAAATGGAAAGGCATAAATGGAAATAAAAGCTTGTAAACCAGTATTAGATATGGAATTAGGTTAATAAAGAACTTCCAACTTGATGAGAATGTGATACAGTGGGCACGGAAAATTGGTGTTGCAGTCTTACCCTTGTATTTTTAAAGCCTGGAAGACCATATTGATCCAACAAGTAAAAGAATGTACAATTCGCATACTATCTGCTGTGCAAATACTAAGAAATCTCTGCTGCCAAGGATTCAAAATTCATGTGGAGTTAGATTTACATGGAATGAATAGCCATGTATTAATGTTTTAACATTTATAAATATCAAGTTGCACAGCTCTCAAACCAGCAAGTGGTGCCATAATCAATACATTACAAGTACAGCATCTACAATTAAATTCATGGAATTTTATTAGTTATGTTTCAAAATTAACTCTTCACCTTAATATCAGGAAGTTTATGAAGTTTATCATGTCACTTAAACTAAAGAGCATTGTGTTAAAAAGACCTTCAGAAAAAAATTCGGAGGGGCAGAGCAAGTGGTCTTTCAATTTAGTCTAGATTAGGAAAACTATTTTCTTGTAACTTTTTTTTGGTTATGAGGAAAATCAACTTCCAAATCAAAGCAGAGTTCCTCAGAAACATAACCAAAAAGACAACGGTCTTCAACCTAACATGAGAAATTTCAGCCCCGCCACCCGTAACAGTAAATGGAATTCCCCACCAGTAAGCGTTCTGATCATTTAGAAACCGCACTACGTATTTCAAAGAGAAAACAAAGAAATATGAAGCCATGTTTGTAGCAAATAGTTAGGTAACTGCTGCTGGTGTACAAAATGCATGAAATTAGTTAATATTAATAGGCTCTCAAACCCCAGAGTTATGGTTAAATCAATACGGAATTCGGTGAAAAGCAAAGCACGTCATCCACTTCATCAAACTGTTCTCTCTATTAGATTACCACCTCCAAACGAATGCTGCCAGGTTAATGGAGAGCATAGTGCAAACAAACACTGTGTAAATTTGCTTGTAAAGATCAAATCCAAAACATTCCGAACACAGCAACATGCAACACTTTTGAGGCTTTGATCAACAAGTTCCTAAAAGCAGCATCTTCCACACTTTCCTGTTTATACAGTTTTAAAGTTTGCAATGATCATTTTTATTAAAGTTAGTAAATGCACAGAAAACAGGTTTCGCAAGAACTACTGCATGAACCAATACAGCTCAGATTGATGCATTACTCAACAAAATAATGCATATCTGCTCCCAACCCCAATGGTCCCATTACTCAAACGCCTTAACCCAAATAATATAACTGCATTCTTTCTTGACCACTTGAGATTTTTTTTAGTGTTCTATGCATATATTGAGAGGTGCAATGTATATGGTGCTCAGAAAGTCAAAGATTATCAATTTTCTAATGCTAAATTCCTAAACTGGGATTGTGAGGAACTAAGCCACCCCCAGAAAAGCTCACTGGCAAAATGTTTTGAGTGGTCAACTCCAAATAATGCAATTCCTCTTCTGAATGGATGGAGTCATCATGAATCTTGTGGTCATGAAAGTTTGAACTCATACCCACAGATTACCTGGATCTAGTGTAGCAAATTGAGATCAGATAAGATTGCACGGATTAATGTGATGCCTAATAGAAATCCGTCTACCCGTAAGCTATTAAGTTCTGAAAATATTTTCATAGTAGACAACTCAATGTTAGCTAAATAAAAGAAAAAAACTACTAGCAGTATATTCAGAAGGTACAAAACTCTGATCTAACCTGCAATTTTCACCATCACCTCTGAAAGGAATTCCCCCACTGGCGAGCTAATCCTGGAGCAACAGTTGGCACTCAACATCTAAAATATCAAACCTCTGGGATCAGCCAGATGGACATTCTGATAAACTCTACATAGGAGTTGAACTGCTTCCTCTATTAATATTTCAACCCAGCACTAAACTACTACCTGTCACCCCATCGACTTTGGCTTCAATGTTGAAGCACACTTTACAAACGTACTGATTTTACTGGTACAGCGAACAGCTGCACTCATCGTCTGGTCAATCTAATAAATTTGATATTGTTGTATCATCTTTTATACTGTAGAAAATATAGTAACCAATGGGGGGAAAATAGCAACTAAGCCACTGCTTCAAGATCAACAGATACATCCAGATATGACTAATAGATATATCCAGATTACAACAAAAATGACTGGCTACATCAATCCAATCAGATATCAGCACTGAAGATATCCATCCCAACCACAAGATTAAACCCTGGCTAACTAATTAGTTGCACATCAGATGTCAAGATCAATACCAAAAATAGCTGAAATTTAGCTAGTTTTTTTAAATTATATAAAACCTCCTTTGGGATTTCCTGAGATTAGTGGAACACTGCATCTGCAAATCAGAGGTCTTCATTTCAGTAAATGAAATGGATATGCTCCAATAGTTGGTCTGTTTGCAGAATTCATTTCTGCCAAAACATAGCCTGATCCGTCTGTGTACAAACCAGCTACATTCATATACCCTTTATAGTCATTTCACTGCGTGCCAGTTGCTGATCAAGCAAATACTTCCTTCCTGGAGTTCATGTAGCGCTTAAGCAACTGGAACACATAACGGCACATTTCACAGTCAAAATGCTCAGTTACCCTTCTGCTGAAACACCTTGCAAAGCCCGACACAATATTTAACTAACTAACGTACAGAAACTTCCCACAACTTCGAATATATACATTTTTTAAATTATATTACCAATCAGAATTGGCACCATCACAAATCATAAAAATAATCCAAATAATTAAATGACAGTCTATTTATCAAACGGAACCTGGAGGAAAATGCTTCAAAGAATTCTCTGCACAAGGGATTTTTCTTAAAAAAAGAAAATGCATAATTAAATGCCCATATTCATGCATTCTATGCCTTCACACCAACCAAGCTCAGCCAACAAACCAAGCTTGCACAAGATACCTTTTGCCTTGGCTTTTTCTTTTGCTTTCAATTTTCCTCCTGGTTCCTCCTCTGATAGTCACAAGAAGGAAAGACATTCTAAAATAGTCTAAAAACTCATGTTATACAAGATAGTTACCCAGTACCATTATTACTCGCTCAATGGTAAATCATAACCTACCATAAACATGGTCACAAACTGAGGCACACCCATTCAATTAAGTGTTTAAGAATAAGGCCAAACAGGATCCTGGTTTGGCTTTGACAATGCAATGCGCTTTATCCAATTGCAAGATTATAAATTCACACAATGCCCTAAAATGATCCAAATTGTACTCAGAATTGTAATACTTTGTTGCATTTCCTTCAGAGTTGATAAATGCATAATCATTTTAATATAAATAATAATCCTTGGATTTGATATAGCGCTTTTCACGTATACCATCCATAATTGGTTGGTGAGTTGATTTTAACAGATTGATAACAATGGAGCTAGGTTAAATTAAATAGCCGTCAATCAAGGACTGATTCACAAGACAAATGTTCAATGCCACAGCTCTGGTTTCGCAGATACTGTCATTGAGAACAGGGGCAGGGAAAGTCTACCTTCAGCATATCTGGATGCACGTTGATGTGTTAAATATTGAAATCATCACTAAACTGGCTCAACTGTGTACTATTGTCCTGTAACAAGAGGACACCAAAGTAGCTCATTGAGTTTCCCCAGAGAATAGCTGGGTCATATAGTCGCGTATGTGTGTGGTGGTGGTGGGGGAGGGGGGAGAAAGAGGAGAAAAAGAGGTGGTTGAGGCCTCAGAGCCTTAGGTTTGGGGGGGGGGGTGTCAGGAAAGGGGTGGTGAACTGCATATGCTCACCTCCTAGCAGAGATGAGCAAGTGCAGTTGTCAGATGAAGACAGTTTTCTGCTGATTACACCTCACACCCTCCAGTCGAATAGCTCCTGATACTCCACAATGAAACTCACAAAAAAAGATTGGAACTTAAGTGAATGCCTGAGAGATAAGCTCATCTTGTGGAAACATAGCGAGCTCAAATACTCCAAGGCTGCTCCAAAATTAACCTTTGAGTCATGTCAATGAAAAGATTACAACAGAAAGCAATTCTTCCAGCACAGCATATAAATGAACACCCTTCTTCAAATAGTCTGCTGCACATATTCCGGTGTGCATTAAATGCTATCTACTCAAAGTGGACAGTGGACTTTGAACAAATCACTAACAATGCACAAATTCTTTTTTTTAAAAAACAAACTATTGTGACATGCTGAGTTCTGGCTAAATGCCGCATGCTGAGGTTTAAACAAATAAACCAAATGATGAAATGCAAAGAGCAGCTTTATTAGTCAAACTTTTGCCAGAATATCTACATGTTAAAAGTGACGGAGCAGAGAAAATATTAAAGAAATACCTCATGCCAAACAACTGAATTCAGCCCATTTAAGACCTTTACATGTACTGCAAAAAGTATTTTCAAGATCCCAGATCCACATCAAGTCTTGGGGTAGAAAAACACTTACAATTTAAAAAAATATATAAAACATATGCAATTATGAGTTACTTCAAGACGAATACCACAACACACCACTATGCAGGCAACTTTTTTTTTACCAGCGTATGACACCATATGCTGCACAGACTTTCAACTCTATAATAAATTACAGGACTTCTCAGTCAATAACAGCCGACTAAAATAAAATCAATGTTAAAAAAGACTCCAAGATGGATACGTGGGTGAAATGTGAATCACATACATTAGGATTCAAGAAAAAAACATGCATCAATTTTCATCAGTAAGAAATAATGCCTTAGATTAATTAACAGTACAAAGTGGATTACTTGCTGCTGCAGGTTAACCTGTTTAAAATGATGCAACACATAGAAATTGGGAGACCTCTCTCACATCACAGAGCTTTTCACCAAATTGTGAGACACGGTTGACAAAAATGTATGAACCAAGAAAGAAAGGTTCTTTAATTCAAAGATTTCAGATAAAAGGCTTATTTTACAGCTGTCCCCCTCCTCATGAATTTACAGGCGCTGTCATCCATTGCTGCATCTGCTACTTTCACTTACACAAACAAGCAGATCTGCTCAAATGTTAACAGTTTGATATAGAATCTAAACGGACCACAACTTCAGTTTGCCATAGATGCAAAATCATGCAAATGATGAAAACTATGTGTACGGAGTAAGCAATGGTGTAGACTCATGGGGAGTATAAACACTCACATGGACTGGTAGGGCCAAGTTGCCCATCTCCATGCTGTACATTCTTTGTAATCTTTGAAGTATTAACACAAAAAGTTGATCCAGCCCATCTCCTATGTACCATGCTGGGTGTAGACTATTTTTCATCATTTATCCAGGTATCCCACATTGACAGCTGCACTCTACTCTAGGGTAAAGCATATTGGTACTTATTCTGCCGTGGCACAGGCTACTTTGAACTTGTGATAAATTGCTATACAGGCTTCTCCAAATTTTCCAGTATACCAATGCAGCCGTGTATTCACACAAACCTGCAAGTCTCTTTAACATCTATCATTAACATATATTGAAACTAAATGGTTGCTGAAACGTTTCACAGAAAGCTGGGGTTCAGGCTGAAGCAGTTTCCTCCCCCCCTCACAGCAAATAAAATTGAAGTGAAAGTAGGATACTGTTATACAAGATTCCAGAAACCAAAACATAAACAGAATTAATAGTTTTCAACAAAAAATGACAATGTTAATAAATTTACTAAATTATACAGATGCCCTTTTACCTGTGTGAAAGGATTAAAATACATTCCAGCTATCAAACAATGCAGAAAAGTGGATTGTACTTGCAACATAATGAAGCAGCTATTTTTTTATATGTATACCCAACTGCATGCTTTTATTCCATTAAATTGAAAATAGCCTAATGAATGCATCGAAGAGTAATTACAATGACCCAAGGCATACTTCAACCTCTAATAAATTAACACTAGTTATGAGAGCAAATTCACACATGCAGATATTTCATCAATTTCTGGGATAAGCGGTTTTGTTCTTTTGGGAAAGTAATTTATCCAGAATATGTAAAGGGATTTATTACATTTTTATTGTGGTCGGTCCTTCTTGAAAATCATACTTATGAAATAACTCACGATTAATGAATGTGTGAACGTTTGGATCTTTAGTAAAATGATCCCTTAAGTTGCTGTTTGTTTAATTCTCCACTGAACTGTATCACTCTGACCCTCCACATACAGTACAACAAACACTGCATTCAATTTGTTTTTCAAAATTAGGTCTGAAAGCATCCATCACATCATTACACACTGGACACATGCAGCATTCTTCCAAGTAGGGCAAGGAACATTTTAAAAGAAAAATGAGATTCTGTTACATATTTCATCAAGCTTTTGCTGCCCGAGGCTGCTCTGTAATATTGCAATGATTGCTAAAAAAGTTCACAGTTTTTTTGTTTTCTTCCCCCTTTGTCTCATTTTTAAATCCTAGGACAAGAATGCCATTTTAGGTCTATTATCTTAATTGATTAAATCTGCAACTGCTCTCTGATACCTGGCAACAATCAGTAACTATTCAAATTAAAATCACACTTAGAATAGAATACAAATGTTGCAGAACTACATTTATTTTCCTTTCAGCTTTGGAAATGTCTAAATTGTTGCAGATTCTAAAAACAAAGATAGGCCTTCCTTTTTAAAAAAACAAATCAAGTCCAAAGAAAAAGTTTTGATGTGAGTGCTCAATCAAGGAAGATACTGAATAATATGCCAAGGTTTGAATTTACCTTTCAAAAGAATGAGTAATGCAACTAACCGTGTGCAATTCAAAGCTGTTTCTTCACCTATGAATAAGGTCAACCAAAATCTAATCTTTACATTTTGTTTATTTTGTATAATTTTCAAAGGACCTGGAATTAATTCAAAAATATTACACAATATTAGACATGCCCATTTAGTCAAGACAGTTTCTAAAGCAAAGGTACAAAACATGCAGATTTCTCAGAGTATTATCAGAAAATAGTGATTAAATTGCTCATATACAGCACAAAAACATAATACAACTCAGTAAATTATTTACATTTAAAGCTTCAGCTATACAAAAAGTATTTATCGAATGCAGCAAGCATGCAATCTCCTTTGTATTATTCATGGACATGTAACCATTTCAAGCTGAAGTTAATACAAATTGGTAGCGCTTCATCATTAACAAACCAATTTGACATCAAATACTGAGAGCTCTCTACTGGTTAACACACCAGGTGCACAAATGAACAAATACATCAATCCGACTGCACAAAAGCAGACAAAAACTAAAATTACACAAATGTGTAAGTGTTTACCTCTCTCAGTGTATACAACCACAGAAAGATATCTACGGATCTTAAAACCCATCTAAGTTACAACAAGTTTTCATAGCAGCAAAAGGTCTATTTGTGTTTGAATTAACTAAGATGGTTGACAATATTTTGCTACCATCTATCAGGATCATGTTTAGCATCACAATCCTGGACAGGTGTTGTGCTAATTCTCAGTAACCAAATGGCAAAACACCTTAATCTCAATAGACTGCCATTTTTTTCAGACCTAAATCTTCTCATTAAAGAAAAAGCATTTACATGTTTTATATTTGAGACATTCTCCTGGCGTGAAAGGCGTTATACAAATGTATTTGTTGTTGTTGTATTTATATATACTTTGCAGTTTTTTCCCCCCCACTTCTTGTAGGATTTCAGAATGACTGCTACTGGTTCTGTAAATCCAATATTACACAAGTCTCTTTTCCCTGAACCCCTTCGTTCTGTGACGTACCAGCAACATCCTTGGAAGCTTCGTTTTCTTCATCTTCTAGTATTTCAAAAGGGGTCATTACATCAAACAGAAAGGAGAAGAAACCATAAGCCCAATCTGAGGTTTCCTCCGCTATAGTATCTAGGACTTCCTCGAGTGTATCAATTTGGTCATTATTACCATCACCTTTGGTGAGGCCTACACAGGGATAAAAAGGGGAAGGAAAAAAAGGAGAGAAAAGGGAGAGGTGGTCAGACAGAAATGGAAAAACAATCACAGGACAGCGGGTGCTATATGTCGGGGCCCTACATTTCATCAGCTCAGATATCTAAAGGCAGTTGTAGATTGCAATTTTTTTAAATAAATGCTCCAGCAGACAGTCACATTATTGCTCATTACATATAGAATTCTGGTTCTTCCTCCTCCTTGCATGCGCACACACAAGACTGAGGCATAATATTCTGAACTATAGTCAGGACAACGATTCCATTACCCAATTAGCAACATTGGAACACTTTTGTCAGCACATACGTTTCAGAGCCCAAAGATGTATTAACACAAGACCAGAATTCTATTTCTGAGACAAAAACATATATTATAAAGTATACAAATTGATATGAATCCTCCTCTCCACCCCCCGCCCCCTCCCAAGCTCCTGTGGCGCATGCATTGCAACATGCAAAATTTAGGTGGTTATAATTTTATGATAATAGTTTATAGAAACATTTAAAACACAAAAAGGCTCATTATGTAACCAACAGGACATTGTTAAGATCAAGTCCAAAATGTAATTCATGTTTGGGGAATGGGAGTTCAATGCCTCTTAAAACTGAAGCTGGTCAAAATGTAATTAAAAACTGCATGTGAGGACACCGACATAAGCACACCATAAGATTGTATCTGAAAAGAGATTTGCTGAATGTTCGCTCCAGTCCTAGAAGGAACAGAGGTTATAGAACAAAGGCAGAAAAATAAGTCAAGATGAAAGGTTACAAATACACATCTGCCTGCACACAGCAAGAATAGTTTTAGGTCACCTTATTAGAACATTATCCCCCTAATTATATACCCTAATTGTCCAATACAGTTTTAACCTTCAAGGATTTGAGACAAACACATTTGTTATACTACTTATTTGAGAGATGGCTTAATATAATAATCCTTGCATTTCTTCATAATGCAGTTCTCAATATTAAAAATATTAAGAATTGTGTGCATACAATGTGCAAACTGCATGACAAAATGGATACTTTCATTGGCAACATTAATGTAATAATGCCCGCTAGGTAAAATATGTGAAACAAATGTGCTCAATTATCACACCAGGAAAAAAATTCTACTTCCAAAACACATTATGCAACAAACTTGCAAAACTGATCTGTGAACTTGAAGACTGCATCAGGAATACAAGAAAACTATATGGGGTTTGGTTATGGTCAAGTGAAATTACTAACTTCAATTACACATGTACTACACTTCAGTTCCTTCCATATAAATCAGCTCAGTGAAACAGAAGTTTCTTAGAATTCGCATTGTCTTAATTACCTATGAAAATTAATCGAGAATTTCATTCACAATTTGTAACAAAATTAAAGTGTGTTTTGATAACAATGCTGATGGTTCAGGAAATCTTGATCGTTGGAGGGTTTGACATTCTACTCTTGGGTTTGATTCTGTATTCAATTGTTCCTAATACACTAATCTCTGTATTTCTTACACCACTCTAACCCCACTACCTGCAAACGCACACTTGCGCGCGCGCGCACACACACACACACACACACAAACAGATACGAAACGCACAAAAACAAGCATTACACACACACACACAAATCAACAAACACCCAAACAAAAACAACAACAAAATTACATTTATAGAGCGCCTTTCACGTCGGGAGGACGTCCCAAAGCGCTGAACAGTCAGGGGTCGGGGCCTGAGCATGGGGGAGGGGTGGTGTAGGGGTGAGGGAAGGCAGAGAGGTGGGAGGGAGAAGGGACTTGAGTCCAGCCTTGAAGGAGGCAAGGGAGGAAGCGAGGCAAAGGGACTATGGGATGGAGTTCCAGAGTGTGGGGGCAGAGAGGCTGAAGGGAAGACCGATGAGGAGGGAGTTCCCGTAATCAAGCCTTGTGGTGACGAATGTGTGGGTGAGGATTTCGGTAGCCTGAGGGGTGAGGCAGTGGTGGAGTCTGGCAATATTGTGGAGGTGATGGTAGGCAGTACCGGTCATGGCGCGGATGTGGGGGAGAAAAGACAGTTCAGGGTCAAACAAGACACCCAGGTTCCTGACTGGCTTAGTGAGGTACACTCTCAGACACAAACACAGGAGTGGGTCTCAGTTTCTTACCATAAATTACTTTAGAAATAACTCCATTCAAATAGTGACTACCTCATTCAAGACTCAGCAATGATGGAGCCTCCAATGCTCTTAGGATCCACTTTCATTTCTTCAGATCTCAGTTCCTCAGCTTCTCCTGAAAGTTATGTGGTTCTGCAACTTTCACTAAATATCTGCACACTGTATCAACCTTCATATTCCTTCTTGTAAATGTACATGCTTTATCCCTGCTGTACTTTGTTCTGAATGCAATTAAGAGTTTTTAATATATATGTATCAAGATAAAATAATCTTGCAACAATTGTTTAAACTTATTTTGTAAATCCCAGATTAGAAATAATCTGTTTTGGAATGCAAAATAAAAAGATAACATTTTGGAAGTTGAAAATGTCACTAATGGAAATATTAAAGAAATTCTGAGAATTTAATTGAATATATACAGTCCGGACCAGGTATAATGCGGCATTTTGGGCCTATATTTTTTTTAAAAAAAACAGTGTTACCACCAGTCTCACTTCTAAGTCATCAGGTTATCACACTTCTGGTGGGGGCTGGAAATCAGCTAGTCGGAAAAGGAATGTGAACTGTACTTCCAGTAACTAATGCTATAAGCAGACTTGTCTTCCAGCGCAGTAAGTTATAATGGAGTAGCACCCTACAGATACTTTTAGATATATTTTCAATCAATAATGAAAAGAATGTATTTTTAAATAATTTGGTTCATCGTCTAGTGCCAATGCTAAAAAAAATTGATTGACCATTTTCATTCAGTGGAAATGCTATATTGCTATCATCGCAAATACAATAAATCTACCGAATCTTCTCCATTAAATGGGTGTACTCAGTCACAAATTAATTCAATGCAAATCATATTTTAATGTTCAAACACAACACCTCCGAAGCTTTAGTTAAATGTGCAACTCACTGGATTCTCACCTTGGCAAATAGAGGAATTCCCAGGATTATGCCAACTCCCTCTCAGCCTGAATGCAAAACGCAGAATATAAAGGAAAAGGAGGGAAATTTTAAATGTTTTATACTTTTCTTCCTTTAGCCTGTGCAAAGAGATTGATGATTGCAATGAGTGAATGAATACAAGGAAATCAACGAGGCACAATAACAAAAGTATGTAGTTGTGCACAGGGACACTTCACATGTTGTATTTTTTATAATGGCAGTTTGTACAAACACTTCTGTAAAAAAAACACGGAGATTTTTTTAAAAAACTTTCATTTTGAACTGTAATAAAGGTTAGTGAAGGTAACACTGATTACCCAAGATACTTCTTGTAATACATAAATTCGGTGTACACTTAAGGAATTGAGATTAAAAGACTGAACATTTTTGAAGGTGCCTTCATTGATGTGAAAGTACCTTTCATGTCAGGGGTAAGTCTCAAGGGGAAGGGTACGTTTCAACTGACTGAATATTTTGTAGACTAAATGTCTTAATTAGGATATCAATTCAGAATGTACAGTGAAACCAAGTTATAAAGCATTCAGCTGGGTCCAAACTCTCACCAACCACATCATAAGCGACATGTGGAAAAGCACCCAACTTCCAGGTGGTCAGTGAAGTCATTTCCTTCACGCATATCTGGTGAGTATATCACTTCCTGCATCTCGGAGTGGAGCCCTGTAGCTCAGTGGTTAGAGCGCTCGCTTTGCAAGCGAGAGACCTGGGTTTGATTCCTGGCAGGGCGAAATGTTGGACAAGTTTCTTTACTCCACACACCTCTGTTTACCTAGCAGTTAGTAGAAACCTGGTTGTTAGTCAATTGGCAGATCACTTTTCCGGAGGTAATAGATCCTTAAAAAAAATGTCACTTCAACCCATGGCTGTTTGTGGAACACTGCTGTGTGCAATTGGCTGCTGCGTTTCACACACAAAATATACAGTGAATTAACTTTACAATATATTCTGTGAAGCGCTTTGAGATGTCTCGAAGATGCGATAAGGAGCAATATCAAATGCAAGGATTATTATTATCCTGCACACGTGCAGCAGCGTGGTTGATATCACAACACGAAGGAAGTAACATCAGCAACGCATTGTGTGCATTGGCAACAATCTGATGTCTCTGAAGTCAGTCATTTTATTCGCGCTGGAAGCTGCGCTCATTTTCATTTCCAAGGACTTGGAACGAGTCGTTGCTTCCCAGTTTCGCTCCTTCCTCTCTCGCCACTCCCTTCACGAACCCCTCCAATCGGGTTTCCGGGTCGCCCACAGCACAGAAACAGCTTTGGTCAAAATGACAAATGACATTTTATCCATCTGCGACCAGGGCTCCCTCTGCCTCCCCGTCCTCTCTGCTGCCTTCGATACCACTGTCCACTCTATCCTCCTCCACCGCCTCTCTTCTCACCTCAACCTTCATGGTTCTTCCTTTGAATGGTTCAGATCCTACCCCTCATACCGCCTCCATCTCAGCTCCACAAATAGACTTCTCCTCTAACCCCTGGACCGTTTCATGCAGCATTCCTCAGGGCTCTGTCCTTGGTCCCCTCCTTTCCATATCTATATGCTCCCTCTTGATGACATCATCCGCAGACATGGGGTCAACTTCCACATGTACGCAGATGACACCCAACTCTATCTCTCTGCCTCCACCCTTGACTCCAGGACCACTGCTGTCCTGACAGAATGTCTGTCAGACATCAAGTCCTGGATGAGAGCTAACTTTCTACAGTTGAACATCAACAAGACCGAGACTCTCCTGATTGGCTCCTGTCAGCGCTTCCACTACTCAGGCACTGACAGCATCACCATCCAAGGATGCACACTCCACCTTACTAAGCCAGGCCAGAACCTTGGGGTCTTGTTTGACCCTCAACTATCCTTTCTACTCCACATCTGCGCCATTTCCCGCTCTACCTTTCCCCACCTCTGCAACTCTGCCACTGTCTCACACCGCAGGTCGCCAAAATCCTCATACACCATTCATAACACCCAGGATAAACTACACAAACTCCCTGCTTGTCAGCCTTCCCAGCTCCTCCCTCCATAGGCTGCAGATCATCCAGAACTCTGCAGCCCATGTCCTCTCCCAAACCAGGCTCTGCGACCCTATCATCTCCATCCTCGCCTGACTCCACTGGCTTCCCATCATACAGAGGATACATTTCAAGATACTGGTCCTCAGATTCAAAGCCCTCCATAGCCTTGTTCCCCACTACCTCTGCGACCTGCTAGCCCCCTAGCAACCTGCCCGCTCCCTCCGCGAAGCAGGCTGGAGCCTGCTTCATGTTCCCTGCCTCACCCGCTCCACCGTTGGCCTTCTGCCACTCTGTCTACACCATCTGGAAGTCCATCCCACAAACCCTCCGCTTTGCCCCTTCCTTTGCCTCCTTCAAGACCTATCTCAAGACCCTCCTCTTCAACCGTGCCTTCGATCAACCTCCTTCCCCCCCGCCCTCCACCCTCCCCGATCCCCAGCTCAGGACCGAAACACTGCTTGTCCTGCATTTTGATGTCCTCCCAACATGAAAGGCGCTATAAAAATCTAATTCTGTTGTTGTTGCTGTTTGCACAGGCCCACGGTATAAACAAGGCAGAGATGTATTGAAGGATGTAACAGGAATTCCCCAATTTTGCCATGTCCCACAAAAAAACAAAATAAATTACAACAACAAGATTTCATTTATAGAGCGCCTTTCACATCGGGAGGACGTACCAAGGCGCTGGACAGTTGGGTCGGGACCCAAGCAGGGGGGAAATGGTCAGGGTGAGGGGAGGGAGGGAACGAGGATGGGGTAGAGAGTCGAGAGGGGAGCTGAAGGCACGGTCGAAGAGAAAATTATACCAATTATATCTGAGGATTGTCAGCCAGAGCAATGGGGAAAATGAAACTCCCTTCTCTTTTCTAATAGTGCCTCAAGATGTTTAATGCGCACCTGAACAAGCATAGACAAAATCTCAGTTTAACTTCCTATCCGAAAGACAGTGCTAATAAGAATGCAGTACTACCTCAGCACTCCAATGGAGTATCACACTTAACTTAAATTTCTTGAGGTATAATCTTCTGACTCAAAGAGATCAACTGAGCCAGGCTGATACCAGTGGCCAGGAATGCAGGAATGTTCTATAACAGAACAGATTAGCTCTTAATGTCAAACATCGGATGTCTTAGATGGAGTTAACTCACAGGTGCATATGTAGCATGATACTGTATAAAGGTTTCGGAGTCAATCCAATAACGTTCACTGGTGGCACGTAACTGGGCTCTGCCAAACACTTTCCCAGGCATGAGTGTACATGGGCACAACCCCAAATTTGGAGCAACCTGGAACACCTTTTGGGTATACATACAAGTTATGCCGATAGCTATTACAAAGGTAAATTGTTGTTGTTACAGGAGCTATGCCTATCAACACGTCTATCGACATGCGGAGATATCCTTGTGGCAGGCATAAGCTTTGCAATATATCGAGAGGTCACTCCACACAACAGATTGTAGGGCATGATTTCGGCTTCACTTATTCACAGCACCATTTTGGGTAGATTCACGGAGGCAAGAAGGTCAAAGTTGTTTTAGATTTTGTAGCGTTTTAGTGAAATCTTCAATTATTTTAAACCACTGTTAAAGTTGGACACTTAACCCATAAAGTATACGATTATCTGCACACAGTTCCTCCTCACAGGATGCAAGGTTGTTAATTGCGCTCAAAATCTAGTTAACCCAGGACACAAAGTTTGTCAAGAATCAGCAATGGTTTAGGTTTGCGGTGTTTTAACAGATTCCAAGGTCATAGAGGCAACAAGTTATAGATGCCACTTCGCAATATCGGCGTGGGATAGGTATCCTTGGCCCTGATTTATAATGTTGCCTCTCTCAAATTATGTTTTTTNCCCCCAATTTTAAAAGTTAGGTCAGAGCATAATCAATAGCTTGGTTTATTAAGTCAGTTCCACTGTAAAATTGAGCCATAGTGATGAAACCAATCCTAGGGTTAATCTCCAATCTGTGCAGCTGGTTGACAGCTGTGTTGCCAGGGTAGTGGCAGCAACAGACGCCACAACTGGCCTCAAGGCTCTGGATTAGAGGAAGTGGGGCAGGGAAAAAGAATCAGAGGCTCCTGCTTTGATCAATATCGTGTGTTCTGCAATGTGCACATTAATGTGGATATCATATAAAAGGATTGCCTGTGATCCTCCCCTTTGAAGAATATTAATGTAGCACTGCTGATACTCACTGCCCAGGCTCACATATGAAGAATGATCACTCGAGTAAATCACTCAAGTCACCTGGCAACCATGAAACTGTACCCCAAGTAGAAGCTAGCGAGTTCAGGAGAGGAAGGTGAAACAAAACAAATGTTAAAGCCGATTGTAAAACTGTACCCTGCATCAGAATCCAGTGTCCATTAGGCAATGCATTATGTACACTATTAATCACTTTTATAAACCTAGGGAACTTTACCTCACTATTGCTGTCTTAATTAGTAATGATCATTTCCAGAGTACATACACAGAGGGCAAAAAAAGTTGTTTAACTATTCAGTGCATAACAAAATGTCAACATTCACCACTAATTTCATTTGAAACAAAAAAACAGCACAACCACCACAAAACCAAAGTCAATCATGCAACAACCAAAAATTAAAGTGCGCTTCAAACTCCATGCAAAACAGAGAACATGCTTGCCTAGCAAAACCTTGGCGTCTTCCATGTCAAAGTCACCATCTCCGTCGGCATCATAGACTCCAAGTTTCCCTATTAGAAAGTGAGAGGAGAGGAATGAATAAAAAACAAGCACACAACATCACCTTTTGTATTGCATTTCACCACATAGATACCCATAGATAGTTGTAGAAAATTACCTTCAAAATAAAATATGGCAGAAAGAAGTGTAGAGAATCGGCTACAATGCTTCCCTTAGGACAAACCACCTGCTGATACTCACCGACCAGGCTCAAGTACAAAGAATGATCATTGGAGTAAAACATTCAAAGTCACCTGGTAACCGTGGAACCATTCAAGTGCTTTGAGATGTTCTCCTGATATGAAAAGTGCTATATGCATGTAAATTTGTATTGTTGTATTTTAATTGTACCCCAATAGGAGCCAGCAAGTCCAGGAGATGAAAGTTTTTTTAAAAAAAGCTGATTTTAAAGCTGATTTGGTAAAACTATGCAAATCAACTTTTTTTTCATGCATTGTATCATAAATAGCAAGGGATATCTACCTTTGCAGTACTGCCTGTTCTTAGAGGTGGGCAGTCCAGATGCACTGGGATCCAGGATAAGATTAAAATACTATCTCATTGTACCTCACCTCTTTTTGAGTAGAAAGTTTCAGAGGGCAATATTTTTGTGAAAGTTGCACATCAGACACAAAGTCTACAAGTTCCTGATAAAAGCTGAGAATACGTAGAATTCTCTCTTTCAGAGCTCTCCCAAATCAAGTATCATTTAATTATTTAAGACTGAGGTCTTCTAGGCTGATGAAGAGGAATATGAAAATAAATGCTCGCATTGGCAATGGTTCATTAAAAGTAAATTACGTTTCCTCAAATAGCTTTGGCCATAGTTTAGATTACATTCCAAATGTCTTCAAATGGCACTATCCTCTTACACTATAATCTGCTTACATGTCATACCTAGATAGCAGAAATCCACCCAGACTTCTCTACCTAATTTTGAAAATGTTTTCCATGGTGAAAACACCATTAAGACTACACGTAGCATTAACTACAACATCAAGAACAAAATTACATTTGCATAGCGCCTTTTACAAATTTCGATGTTATGTCGACAGACCAATTTGTTTTACATTATACATTTGGACATGCTAAAGAAATACAATTTACAATTAACATTTATATAGTCCTTTTCACGTTGGGAGGACAACTCGAAGTGTTTCATATAGTTGAGTGGAAGCCTGAGTTGGGGAGGGGGAGACGACAAATGAAGAAAGAGTCCTCTGAAACAGTGATTGAAAAACATAGGTATTAAAGCAGGTTCTGATGGTGGAGAGGGAGAAGATAAGAGTTCCAGAGTGCAGGGCAGAATGGCTAAAAGCTTGCCCACAATCGGTGGTGCAGATTAGGCAGGAGATATGAAATGTTTGCTTGGCGGAAGGAAGCAGCCAGGGCTGTAGGATGGCAGAGGTAGCTTGTGGCAAGGCCCAGGAGGTAATTCAAACTTTAAGATGAACAAAGTCACCATAAACTTTGCAAGCGAGAGACCTGAGTTCAATTCCAGGCAGAGGGCGAAACCTTGGGCAAGTTTCCTTACTCCACACGCCTAATAATAATCCCTCCAAAACCAAAAACAATAATAAATTGGTCATATTCAATCTACGACTGTTTGTGGGACATTGCTGTGCGCAATTGGCTGCAGCGTTCGCCCACAAATATACAGTCAATTCACTTTACAGTGTGTTCTGTGAAGCGCTTTGGGACGTCCTCCCGACGTGAAAAGCGCTATATCAAATGCAAGGATTATTATTATTATTATTATAAAAGGGAACAAAGAGAATTTAAAACGAGCTGCCTGCAAAATGGAGATATTTCATAAGAAGCAAAATGTTCAACTGTGCTGTTCCCAAAGTTTCTAACTGAATTTTTAAATTAAATGCTGTGAACAATTTGGATTTACCGCAATTTGGTAGCTATTTCAAAATATTTTGTACATAATGAAAACAGTTGGTGTGAGCCAGTTCAGAAGGCTTAGACCACAGTAAATACAGTAAACTGTGAATAACTTGTCTCTCCAAGGAAAAAGGCTCAGTGACGAGTTATCAGCAGTGGTGATTTAGGCACATGCATAAATACATAAACGAGGCCAGGAGATTGACAGCATGGTGCCTTAAGTGGTGGTGACAAGTTAAGCCAGGGTCGAGTTAGCAGGAGTTTACTGTAATATATTCCCAACTTTAATTGACTTCAAAAGGTACAGAATAGACACATTAACTTCAACTATCAACTTGAGCACGTGTGGCACACAATATCAATCTGTACTGTAATTTAGTCATATTATTTGCTAAAATAACTTTAGGAAAAACATTTTACCTTCAAACTATTTTACTCCCAGAATATTGTCAACTATGCTGACATCAGCTATGTATATTGGGAGACCTAGACTACAAGCCTCCAATCAGTCTGCATTGCAAGGAAAAAAGGCTATTTTTTAACTTTTTTAGGCTAATCTAAAAAGTATTCCTATGCCATTAGTCAGCTGTTAGTTTATATGAAAATACCTATCTAAAATTGTTTCATACAATTTCCAAATTAGCTGAATGCTTGTGTGAATGAATAGCCGAGTAAGGCATTTCAAGTCTCAAAAAGGAAGTCTATTTAAAAGCTTTGCAAGCAACAAGTTGTGCAATGTATTGTAATCAGTCTAGGATAACAAATGCCATTTCAATATTGAAGACCACTTGGATCAGCAATTTTAACACAAGCTTAGGTTCTACAATTCTACAAGCACATAACACTGATTTTTTTTTAATGACAGATTTAGAAGACAAAATTGTGAATTCATACATATATTACCATTGACGCAGCACTGAAAGAAAGGGCTCGAACACCATGATTGCCTGAAACTATTATTCTGTTATATGAGAATATTAAAACATTTTAATCTACTTGAATAAAGCCCACTTAATTATATATGGGTTCAAATTCAAGTTTCTAAACCAGATTTTCTACTAACCCTTAAAAAAAATTCTAACTTTAAATATTAAATGAATCAATTCAGGAACAATTATTTGGCAGAAAATTGTATTTCCCCCAAGTGATGTCTGTCAGATATCATTTCTCCTGTCTCAATCAGTCCTTGTTCTCATACCAGCATAAATATTAACTAACATATAAAAGATGAAGGCTCAACTGAAAGGTTTTCCTATTTTTCACTGACTCAGCTTAAGAAAGTAATAATAATGCTTGCATTTGCTACATCGCATCATCACATCGTTGAGGTGTCTCAAAGCACTTCACAGAATATACTGTAAAGTGAATTGACTGTATATTTTGTGGATGAAAGATGGCAGCCAATTGCACACAACAGTGTCCCACAAACAATCGTGGAACGAATGACCAATTTTTATTTTATTTTGGGGGGGTGGGGATTATTACTCCCAGAAAAGAGATCGGCCAATCGACTAAGACGCGTGTGAGGTGAGAGTGATAGCGATGACCCGACAGGATTCCAAGCAAAGTTATGAAGCAAATACTCAGCGTATCAATTCTGGCTATAGCTAATGGACAACAGTCCAATTGCATTGAATATTTTCACAAAATATTGAGACAAAGGTGAAGAAGCAGCAAATCAACCACTGATCATAGCTATTGCTATGAGCTTCCACTGCATGTTCTAGGCGAGAGAAAATCAGCAGATATGTAGTGCAGGATCCAGCAGAGAGAAACGTAGACCCAACCCAACAGCTGTGCAAATGGGATTCCTGGACATGAGAAATATTAAGATATAGAAATATAGCGAAAATCCTACCTTGCAACACCTCTGACAAATTATAACGAAACTCCTTTGCTTTGGCTGCATGCATGATAAAAAATATTTTTTAATGTACGGTAATCAAAACTACTATGTACACAGTGAAAAACAGTGACTTTTTTTTAAAAAAAAGTTATAATTTAATGTCCAATTTCAAAACTGACTACAGAAACATTGATCAATTATAAAATTGGGTTTCATCCACTACAGTGTAACTTTAACCACCAAAGTTTAAGATATATATTTACATGTAACACAGTTATTTTTAGAACCCTGTCAGGAATGAGAACCGTAAAATTATCAGGTCATAACTTTAGATCTTCAGAAAATATAGCTTGTAGGTGAACATGCCAGATTGATGGGGCTTTCAAAAGTGAGTCACATGGTAGAATTCAGGTGATATTGGGATAATACCACCCTAGGAGATGCAAGTGCAGAAAACCAGACATAATTATAATTCTTGTCAGATTATCCATCCAGTAAATCAGCAACTACAACTTTACGGTCTTCATTTGTAGAGTTGCACTAGATTTAAGGACAGCTTTTGTAAAAACTCAGTCCATCACTCCTCAACCTCTGTGCAATAAACAAGGCAAAGAGACTTTAAGATAGTCCTTTTACACACATGAGAGTTGCAGAGGGTAGGGGAAAGCAGAGTCACTCAGATCACCTCCTTCCTTGGTTACATTTGGTCCATAATTAAGAAAGATTGATGGTGTCAAAGGAAAGAAAATAAAACCATCTCCTGCAAACTTAATGAATGTGGTACACTTGACTCAAAATGCACGATATTTCTAATACATGTGAAGGGGGAAGGGGCACATTTTAAAAAAAAGTTAAAGATAGACTTTGAGGGGGTTGGAAATTTAGCTGTTGGCAGAGGAGAAAGGTTCGCTCTTTCAACACAGATTAGGTACTTTTAAATATTTAGGTAACAATCCAACTTGCAAACCTATATCTTTCCAGCCTTAACATTCAGGCAATGTTTACTTACCCAGAACATCTTCGTAATCCACCAGGTCAAACCAAACAACAGCCACTGACGTCCAGACCCCCAACAAAGCGATAATCATGAACCACGTGAAGAATGAGCTTCCAGAAGGTCCGTCGCTTTTCTTTCCATTTTTATTGAGTGGAGTGGGTTTATCTGGAACAACAGGAATTACCAATGAGTTTGCCTATTGTTTGGGGGAAGGGGGAGGAAGTAGAATAAAATGACAAATCAATCACAACAACCACTAAAAATATGATAAACTCTTCAATACCAGGGTACATACACTGACCATATCTCATCTATCAAAATATGTATATTGGATTGACTTCCAAATAATAATCCTTGTATTTGATATAGCGCCTTATTACGTCTTCGAGACCGCTAAAGCGTTTCACAGAATATACTGTAAAGTGCAGTGCCTATAACATCAACAAATTGCGAACCAGATTTTCTGGAAAGTCACAAGAAATGTACTGTAGGCTAGCACAGACTTTGCTGACGGAAGGATTTTCATTGCAGATAGCAAATTTCACTCCTCTGCAAACAAAATGTTTGCGTGACTCAATTAAAAGCTCCGTGACAAGGGTTTTTAATCAGCACGGCTGTAGCTTACAGTCACACACAGCTTCAGGAACAAGAACGACTTGCTTTTTCACAGCGGCTTTCACAAAGAATTACGTCAGAGTACTTTGCAATGGCAGATGGACACTGTGGGGGGAGCTGGGGAGAGAGTGGAAGGCACGGTCGAAGAGATAAGTTTCACAGCGAGAAATTGACAGAAACTAGATGCTGTACTTGTACAGTGGGGAAGGTGTGGAAGAGTCTTTCCTATCATTTTGGTATTGCAAATTCACTGCACCAACAGTCTGTCTCCCTGTCAACTCCTTTAAGGTCCATTGATCACATCACAGGGAGAAACACAATCCTGTCAATTTGCAAAGCTCCAATTTGATCAAGCATTCAGATAACCAAGGTTACAAAAACCTAAACCACTCCTCAATTTGATTGAACAGAATCCTGATCACTTTTATGTTGTACACTTACACTTGAAAGAATTTGCTGATTTTTAGTCTTGGTTTTGCAAAGGTTGCGAGCTCACAGCACGCAGTACGAGTGTTTTTTGTGCCTATTTTCTCACCTGGTGAAGGCACACTGTTCGACGGGCATTGGCAGCCCTCCTTTACCTGGTTAATTCTTCATGATGAGCCCAGTATTTGCAGACTATTCACTATGGGGTGCAGCATGCCGGACTCTAATCCCATTGTCACTGGATATCTACTCACCTATCGGGAATCACTGGGTAGCAATCAGGTACGCCAGTTACATTTTGCCCTCTCTAACTCACACCTGACAAGGCAAGCGCAGCACCTAACTCCAGCCCCTGTTAAAATCACTCAAGGAATGGCTTAGAGTTAGATGGGCAGCCTGAGTTAGAGAAGACAAGTGAGCAGTGGGTTTATCCGTGAGCAATTGTTGGGGGGGGGGGGGGGAGAAACATTACAAAACTTTAGCACTTTTTTAGAAGATTCAATAATAGAATTAGAAGTAGAATTAATTCTGTTTAGCTCAGAGCAAACTGTGTTACCACAACAAGGAAAGGAGCTTGAGGAAAGTACAATTGTCAGTGAGGTTTTATATGGTCAGCCGGGTGTCTGACACTTGGGGAAACCCATCACCATGCTAAAGAGTATCAAAACCACAGTTCAATATATTCCGCCTATACTTGGAAATTCCAGAGATATTTATTGGAAAGGAATGCACACTCGCTCCCCAGGAGGAACGCATCCTGCTTATCCAATTCCAGGGAGTATTAGGTGCAGGATCGATTACTTGCAGCAGAAGGTACACCAACCACTTCAACCTGACAAGACACCCTGTGTTTCATCCCTTGTCACAGAGTCAGAACTCCTCCCTAGAAGTTAAAGGGCTGCCCACTTGAAGGTGACTGGCCAGTGGTCAGAGGTTTCCCAGCAACACTGAACACTGCAATTGTAGAGGTAGTGAATAAGAGGGGAAGAGAGAAAGAATGGGAGGTAAGTGAACTAAGAGAGAAGCGCAAGTGTAACTCAAAAGGAAACTACAGGAGTAGTAGAGATAGTGAGTGACAAGTGTTAGAGGAAAGAGTGTGAGAGAAGATAGGGAAAGAGGAAGCAAATGTGAGAGACAGAGAGGAAGAGACTCACAGCGAGAGACTGATGTAACAGACAGAGAGAAAGACACAAAGAGAATAAGAGCACAGGAAGATAGGATAGGGATTGGAGGACAGAGGCAGGAAGCTACGGAGAAAAAGGCAGAAAGACAGAATGACAAACAGAAGTTGGAGATTCATTCACAAAGTATACTTATGCTCCTACAGGCCCTTGTACCCAGCTAAGCCCTTCTCCCTATTGCCCATCCTGCGATGGATCGTTTTACTGGTTTATTATTTTCATCAAGAACACACCCAATTACTTTTTAAAATGCTGTAATGGACTCAGCTTTAGAAAGCCATTTTTGATAATGCATCGCATAGTCTAAAAATACCAAAATTATATTTACATAGCGCCTTCATGTCGGAAAGACGTCCCAAGGCACTGGACAGCTCAGGGTTTGCACTCAAGTTGGGGGTTGGAATCAAGAGGGGTGGAGGGTTTGGGAGTGGGAGGGTGGACGAAACCACGATCAATGAGGAAAGTCTTCAGACAGGCCTTGAAGGAAGCAAGGAAGGGGATGAGAAGGAGCGATTCCAGGAAGAAGTTCCAGAGGGTGGGGGCAGAAAAATTAAGGTATGACTGCCAATGGTGGGGCAGGGTACATGAAGCAGGCCATTGCCCACCAAGCGGAGGGAGGGGACAGGTTGGCATCATGTTAACATCCAATTTGGATAAAATTAATTCTTCTGACGATAATCTTCAACCATAACTTTTGTTTCTGAATCACATCCATCAATCCAAATCTCTCTCTATTTACCCTAATAAACAATTGTAAAATAATTTATTAGATAGATATCCTTCTTCAGTCATTTTACAAAACAGGCAGCATAAAGTCGGTTTTTAACAGTCCCAAAAAGCATTGGTCAATTGCTTACAATAAATATAGGGATTCAGTGCAATGTTTAAGCCATTTTAAGGAAGAAGAATTAAATCATTTGGTATCTCCAGTTGAAATCACAAGAGTAAATTACTGACATTATTCTCAGGATGCCCAGTCAAAATCCTGCTCCCTCAACAAATATCAAATTGAAACACTACTACCCTTTTTAGAGATGTGTTTTGATTTCAGCTATTGTGTTTTGTTCAGACATAGACATTTTTTTCTCTTCAGTTGCTACCAGTCGCACATCCAGAACTGAGACCAAAAGAAAAGGCACAGGCCCAAACCATCAATGCAGTTGTAGAATTCAATCCTTGACAAAACATTTTCATCTCAAAGAAAGGGATCAATTAGACATACAGTACTTAACAAACAAGTATATGGTTAATCCCTAAAATCTTTAATCTTTAAAGCTAAATCCTAATTGTAGGTAAAACTGTTTTCATATACAGTGTCCTGACAACATGATGCTGAGGACTTTATTGTGAATACCATTTAATCACAACCATCAATACAACTAACTACCTGTTCACTTGACCTGACAACTGGTTGAATTTCAGGAGGCCGCATGATTGGGATCTGAAAGCAATGCACGTTCAGCCTGAGGTACTTAGACCTTATGTATCCAGAGATTCATACAATCTGCCCTGTACAGTACATGATTTCCCAATGCAGTGGAGCCTTAAATTGGGAAGGCTGGAGTGAGTTTGAATGGTCCAGTCATCTGTTCAAGTCATCACCATCTCCTGTATTTCATAGTACTCTCTATTGTTTTTACTTGTTCTGAAGTTCAGGCCAAACCACTATGAGTAGAAGTGGCAGATGTTTGCACATGGAGACCTAAAGCAGGAACATATCCACCATGCACGGAGAGCAAGGGAAAGGCAGGCTTCAATTTGCAGCAGTGAGGATTGGAGGGTAAGTGTAAAATGCACAGAAATGACTCATGATACTGACAATATTGAACAATCAGCGAATCTATTCAAATATTTTCAGAGATTCTAGATAATATCTGCTCAGACATCACTGCAGCTTTTTTTAATAAAAGAAACAAATTGAGAAATTGTTTTCCAGTAACCACCCCGACATATAAAGGCTGGTGTGTTTATTTTAAAACTTGCATCTAATTTACACTATTCACACATCAATGGGAAAACTGACCAGATTGGATGATGTTATATAGCATCGGAAACCAACGTTTTGTGAAGCCGATGTATAACAATTTGCATTTACATAGATAACACTTTTCCTGTTATGCAGAGCCTTGCACTGGTGAGAATAAAGCAGGCCAGGGTTGGCAGAGCAGAGGGAGTAACCAGAAGTAACGGAATCATTGCATCCTAAGTGAGCAGCCAGGAAGTTTGATGGAATGAGAGCTAAATGCTGATACAAATCAAACACCCATGGGTTCAGTCTAGTTGATGTCCAGCTGCAGAAAATTATGGTTTATCCAGATCTCTGGGATATTTGAAAGACAATGAGAATAGCTATAGTCCTTCAATCAAGAGGAGTGGCAGAGTTAGGCATTGTCAACATTCATATGTTGTACAGAGTTTAGAAAATAAATTCTAAGCTATATACTTTTTGTGTAGTTCTTTCTATTTCACCCCACCCCCAAGTTGTAAAGCAATGTTACATTTACATTGGTGCCTTTGATGTTGAGAGGGCAGCTCAAAGTGCTTGGCAGGGCTGATTAAAAGATCTTTTTGCAAGCTGACAATATCCAGCAGGCTGGGACCAGTACTGGACTAGCTATCATTACTAGAAATGAGTTTCCCAGCTGACATGCCACCAAATGCTGCAGTGACACTGCTGGGAGTGAAACCAGTCTGTTGGTGCATGAATAGAATTCCAAAAGCGGGAGCTCCATTGAAGACCTTTGTCAAGAGTTAAAAATATATATATATATACACATATGTTTTAAAAACTGTGGTCACTTCTTCCACCTTTAAAAATATTTGCGTGAGACGATAAAAATGTTAATTTGATCACCCAAACGCGAGCTTCAAAAACAATCATCGATGGGCTCATCAACTGTAAAAGGCAACATTGCAGAACCTGACTATCACCTGGTAAAACACTAGATAGAATTTTTTTTATATATACCCCTTCCTATCCAAACAAGGACACCAAGACCAATTGTAACTCCAAACTGCTGGACAAGCTGATGATAGCTCACTCAGCACAGGTATCAAGTTGACCTTGTGGCCCCGTTTCCCCACAGCCCAGGAATGAATCAGCCCAAATCGTTCATCAGTAAAGCTTTTAAAGCGGCAAATCCATGAACAACTTACACATGGACATCTAGTCTGCAACAAGGAGGACAAGAAAATCTAGTTTTTATATGGTGGTGTTTCTGAGGTTGACAACACTTTATTTCTGAGGTTGACAACAGGACAAACATTGACAAATATGCTATAAATATATGTGCATTTATGTAAATATATATACACACACACAAATGCCCATGAAGACTGGACTATATACTAGTGTTACATATGTCTATTGAATGGAAGCGCGATAAAAAAAAATCACACCCTAGCAATGACAAATCGTCTCATACCAATGACAAACCATCTCAGAAACTGACAGGCCAATTGTACTGATATTAATGACTGAACTACAGGCGTTCTATTATTATTTCAGAGCTCAACACTGCTTTAGCCAGGAGGCAGATTATGAAGGCGTACCTCATTTTAAATAAAATTGTGCCAGTTCAGTGCGAAACCAACAGGAAATAGTGTTGTCAACTTCAGAAACACCACCATATAAAAACTAGATTTTCTTCAAAATGAGACATCGACAAACTGGAATCTGATATATATATTAAAAAAACTATTTTTCCAAGACTACAATTCTATTTTTGCTTCTGTGAAAATGTAGGTGCCTGAAAATACATTGCATGCAAGGGATTTTAAAAACATATTAAGACTCAAAGTCATTGGAAGATAAGAACTAGTGCAGTGTATTCAGCTGCTTCAGAAAGAGTTAGAACTTTTACCTGCATCATCTGCCATGGTGACCTGTTGTCCCCACTTGCCATGAAGTAGTAAGCAAACTCCTCACTTAGTTAAAGAGCAAAAGCAAATCACAATTTTCAACTCTTGCTATCCAAACTCCAGCCTATACAGATAGGACAGATGGGAGAAAACTGCACAGAGCTAACTCAGCTAGAACCCGATATGAAGCAAGTCGGCAGAATCTGCTCGCAGGCTATTTTTACACCAGCGATCAGCCAAACAGATACAAGCACTCATATGGAAAAACTCCTCTTTGAATGACAAAACTATTTGGCTTTAAGGCAGGCCTGATGTGTGACACAAGCAAAGCCCAGCACACATATCTTTCTCAGTACCTAGAGTAGACCTTAAAGGGAACAAAACATAAATGCACTCCTGGTCAGGTTTTGCCTCGCTGATCATGCTCTCAAAATGACCACACACATGAATCATTGACAGAAGCGAACAGTTACACACAACAACAAAATTATATTTGTAAAGCGCCTTTCATGTCGGAGGATGTCCCAAGGCGCTGAACAGTCAGTGATCAGGACCTGAGCATGGGGGGCAGGGTTGGGATGAGGGAGGGCAAGAGGGTAGGAGGGTGGCTGAAGGCACAGTCAAAAAGGAGGGTCTTGAGTCGTTCGTTGAAGGAGCAAGGCGAATGGATTGTGGGATGGAGTTCCAAAGAGTGGGGGCAGAGAAGCTGAAAGCCCGGCTGCCGATGGTAAGGCGGGTCGGGCAGGAGACCTGGAGCAGGCTGGAACCCACTGAGCTGAGGGAGCGGACAGGTTGATAGGGGGTCAGCAGATCAGAGATCTGGGGGGGGGCGGGGAACAAGACTATGGAGGGCCTTGAAAGTGAGGATGAGGATTTTGAATTCTATCCTCTGAGGGATGGGGAGCCAGTGGAGCCGGACGAAGGTGGGGGTGATAGGGGTCACGGAGCCTGGTGCAGGAGAAGACACGAGCTGCAGAGTACTTGTTGATCTGCAGTTTTAGGAGGGAAGAGTTGGGGAGGCCAACAAGAGAGGGAATTTCTGAGTTGAGCCTTAAGGTGATGAATGCGTGTATGAGGGTTTCAGTGGCCTGAGGGGTGAGGAGTGGCGGAGTCGGGCAATGTTGCAGAAGTGGGGGAAGGCAGAGTGGATCATGGTATGGAAATGGGGGAGAAAGGACAGTTGAGGGTCAAACAAGACGCCCAGGTTCCTAACTAGCTTGGTGAGGTGGAGTGCGCAGCCGTGGGTGCTGATGCTTCCAGTGCTTGAGATGCTGAGGCGCTGGGCAAGCCAACCGGGAGGGTCTCGGTCTTGCTGATATTCAGCTGTAGAATGTTGGCTTTCATCCAGCATTTGATGTCTGACAGGCAGTCTGTCCGGATGTCAGTAATCAGTCAGTAATCCTGGGATCGAGGGTGGAGGCAGAGAGATAGAGTTGGGTGTCATCCGCATACATATGGAAGTTGACCCTATGTCTGCGGATGATGTCACCAAGGGGGTGCATGTAGAGGTTGAAGAGGAGGGGACCCAGGACAGAGGCCTGAGGCACACCACACAAGACTACGGGGGCTGGAAGAGAAACAGAGAGGAGACAAATAGGAGATGGTGTGAGAGCTAAGACCTGAATCATTCAAGGACAGAACCTTGAAGGTTGAGGTGAGGTGGTAAAGGAGGATGGCGTGGTCCATCGAAGGCAGCAGAGAGGTCGAAGAGGCAGAGGGAGCCCTGGTCACAGATGGACAAAATGTCATTTGTCACCTTCACCAGAGCAGTTTCCATGCTGTGAGTTTCCGATTGGAGGGGCTCGTGAAGGGAGTGGTAGGAAGAATGAGCGAAGCAACAACTCTTTCAAGGACCCTTGAAAGAAAAGAGAGGATGGAGATGGGCCAGTAGTTAGAAGGCAGGGATGGGTCCAGGGAAGGTCTTTTCAGGATCGGGGTGATTGTGGCTGTTTTTAGGGGATGGGAAAGGTGCCAGATGAAAGGGAGAGATTGATGGTGTTAGAGTAGAGGGGTGAGGAGGTGGAGCTGGGAGGTAAGGAGAGGGGTGGGGATGGGGTCAAAGGTGTGTTTCATGCTACATATGCTGATGATAAGAGAGGAGGGGGAGACAGGTTTGAAAATGTAATGGGAGTGATGGGTAGGGCTCGGAGTGCCCGTATGTCTCCCTTGAGGGAGCGGAGGTGCTGATGCACCAGTCGAGGTTCATGAGTAGGAGGCGGTTCGGTAAGTGAGGGGGCAAGGGCATCAAGAGTGGTGGAGAAGGAGTTGAAGAGGAGAGTGAGCGAATCGGGCAAATCAGTGCGGAAGGTAGGCCAGAGCGGGAGAAGTTCAGATGACTCCAGTGAAGCGGAGAGGGATTCAGGGAGATTTTTTTCCAGGGACAATAGGAGATGGAGGTGGGTTTGGTGCCAGTGGGGAGAGGGATTGAGTAGTTAAAGAAGATGAAATGGTGATCGGAGATGGTTTTGTCTGTGATTGTGATATCTGAGACACTGGGGCCCTGGGTCGAGTGGGTGACCATGAACGTGGGTAGCAGAGTGGATGTGGAGGGAGAGGTTTTGAGAGAAGAAGTCTGAGGAGATAGAGCAGGAGGGGGTGAAGTGAAGGTTGAAGTCGCTGAGCAGACTGTATAGCGCTTCTTGTGTGTGTGCGCGTGCATGCACGAGTATACAATCTTTCCCCAGAATTCACTCAGTTTGCATTACCAGAAATGGTCGGCGAGCCTCAAACTATAAACGGACAGAATCAAATCTTATCTACTTTTAGATAGCAACGGTATTCGGTACAACACAGCACAGTTGACGCTGATTTATTTAACACTAAAAATAAGATTCACATTGATAATTAAGCTTATACAGTAGACATTAGCAGTAACTTCAATGAAGGCATGGAATAAATAACCTTTTTAGCAGCAATGGGGAGGGGTGGGGGTGCGGTATGGGTAGGATTCAGGTTAGAAAATAATTAGGCAATGTTCCCGAGTGGAAGAAATTAGACTTAGATATGGTGTTTGAAACAACTGAGGGTCAGAATGAATGACATGGCTTGCCCACCAGTTGGTTAATCCTAACCAAGCAGGACAGGGAGCTGATGAGATCAGAGACAGAGGTGCGAAGATACTGGCGAGAACCAAACAAGATAGAATCATACAGCACAGAAGGAGGCCATTCAGCCCATCGTGTCTGTGCCGGCTCTTTGAAGAGAGCTATCCAAATCAATCCCACTACCCCACTCTCCCCCCATAACCCTGCAAACTTGTTCTCCCGAAATAATTATCTATTTGATAATACATAGTTTCAGACTGATAGTTTCAGTCTCGCTTCACATTAAACTGTGAAATGATCAGACTTGTTTCTGATGGCCACAAAGTAACACGACGGGATCACTCAACTTAATCAAAGTTATCAGAGTGATAATGGGAAAAGGGGGAAACGTCCTACAATGTGCACTTCAAAACCACTGTGCTGTGTGCTAAAAGGAACAAAGCTAATAATGGCATAAGCTGGACAGTGATAACTTAAAAAGTATGGCTATAATCGTGCCCTTCAGTTATCTCTTCCTGCACTCCTACATCACTATTTACAGAGCATACCATATCAGACCATTACTGTATCTTAAGGCGCTGCTCACAAGGCAGAATGCATCAATCATGGGCTCTGGCCTTGCCGCCCCACCATTGGCAGGTGGGCCTTCATCGTGTAATTTTCTTTCCCAAAGAGCAGAACTATAGAACAACAACAACAAGATTCCATTTATAAAGCGCCTTTCACGTCAGGAGGACGTCCCAAGGCGCTGCACAGTTGGGTCAGGACCCGAGCAGGGGGGAAATGGTCAGGGTGAGGGGAGGGAAGGAGCGAGGAGGCGGAAGAGAGTCGAGAGGGGAGCTGAAGGCTCGGTCAAAGAGAAAGGTTTTGAGACCGGCCTTGAAGGAGGAGAGGGAGGAAGCAAGGCGAAGGCACTGGGGGATGGAGTTCCAGAGCCTCGGGGCTGAAGGCCCGACCACCGATGGTAGGGCGATTGGGGCGGGGGATGTGGAGCAGACCGGAGCCGGAGGAACGGGGCAGTTAGGTAGGGGGATAGTAGGTCAGAGAGGTAGGAGAGAGCGGGGCCGTGGATGGCCTTATAGGTGAGGATGAGGATCTTGAATTCGATCCTCTGGGGGATGGGGAGCCAGTGGAGGCGAGCGAGGGTGGGAGTGATGTGGTCGCGAAGCCTGGTGCGGGACAGTACACGAGCTGCAGAGTTCTGAATGACCTGCAGCTTGTGGAGGGAGGTGGCGGGAAGGCCGGCGAGGAGAGAGTTCCCATAGTCCAGCCTTGAGGTGACAAAGGCGTGGACCAGGGTTTCAGCAGCGTGAGGGGTGAGGTAATGCCGTAGTCTGGCGATGTTCCGGAGGTGATGGAAGGCGGTGCAGTTGTGGCGCGGATATGAGGGAGAAAGGACAGCTCAGGGTCGAACAGAACCCCGAGGTTTCTGACCGGCTTTGAGAGGTGGAGAGTGCAGCCTTGGATGCTGATGCTGTCAGCGCCTGAGGTGCGGAGGCGCTGACGTGAGCCAATCAGGAGGGCCTCGGTTTTTCGCACGTTGAGCTGAAGAAAGTTGTCTCTCGTCCAAGACTCAATGTCAGACAGGCAGGCTGTCAGGACATCGGTGGTCGTGGAGTTGAGAGTAGAGGAGGAAAGGTAGAGTTGGGTGTCATCCGCATACATGTGGAAGTTAACTCCATGTCTGCGGATAAGGTGACAAAGAACTTAGAACTTTGTCACTTAGAAATAAGTAATGCAAGTGTTTTAAGAATATGCAGAATTTTGTAAATCATTGAATCAAGGCTTAATTTTGAAGCCAGTTTTCTGCAATTTCTTAAAAGAACTTACAGAAAGCCAAGTTCAAAATTAAGACTGAACTTAAGAACTTGCCGAAATTATAAAGCTCTGAAGTGCTAAGTAAATCTAGACCCAAGTGTTGTGAGGATGTACTGAGTAAAGGCTCAAGATCCTGGTCTTCACCTTCAAAGCCCTCCATGACATCGCTCCTCCCTACCTGTGATCTGCTGACCACCCCCCCCCCCCCACCAACCTGTCTGCTCCTTCTTCACGTCCCCCGCCTTGCTGCCCTACCATTGGCGGGTGGGCCTTCAGCCGCTCTGTCTCCATCCTCTGGAACTCTGCCCCCTCCCTTGCCTTCTTTAA